TACACATTTTCCAGCTTCAAGCGGCAATCCAAAAACAAAAGTACAGAATTCAAGTTAAAACACAATACAAGCCTACACAATAGCCATAATATTCGTTACATCCCATACGAGAAGAAAAGAAACATGAATAAGTCTCAGCGCTTTCAGTCTCCAGAACCTGTTAAGGAAAACAAATACGTGGGGTGAGCTAAAGCTCAGTGGTGCCCCAAAACATGCAATCACATAAATCAAACAGCGGTTAATAATTTAAATCAAATCGAAACAGTCAGGAAAGCGTGTAACAACACAAGGTAGGATACAAGGGCTCTCAGGAGCCATTTTCCACGCTTGATCAGATACCATCGTAGTTGACCCTCCGTCAACTTTCCCTACTTAATTTCCATGTAGATATACTTATTTTAATCCTAACCCGTCACCGTTCATACCTCTGCTTTGGGCCCAAACTTCATCTACCGACGCAGTATACTCGAGATATACCCGTAATAAATTTGTCGAGGGATTCACCCAACGACGTTTTGGTAGTTGGATTCAGATGTCGAGGGATTCACCCAACGACGCAACTACAGATTCAGATGTTATGGTAGTTGGATTCAGATGTCGAGGGATTCACCCAACGACGCAACTACAGATTCAGATTCACAGATTCATTAGAAAATGTTTCACACATGTCACCACTCGAACGGCTAGTGCGATAAAGTACACACTGCTCACTTCGATGGATCAAAATCATTTATTGCATTTTGACAATTATCACATAGCGAATTGATAAAGCGCTTAACCACATAACATAGAACAAGCAGGGACACTCACCAAGAGTGAAGTTCAGATATTGGATTGAGGATCGAGTTCCGCGTCCTCGTAAAATCCTAGAATATCAGAATTTAAGCCATAAGTCTTCTATTGGAACTTTTGGCTTGCACATGTAGAGTTTTCTAGCATGTTGCTAGTTTACTTTTTCTCAAAATATTTTACTTGGAATCAAGCTTGTGAGAACCGTACAATATTTCTTATAATATTCCTAGAATACTTTTCCTCGAAGAAAATACTATTATTATTTTCTTAAAATAAGTCGGCAAGATATTTAATATCAAGGCTAGAAGTATACCTTGAGAAAAAGTTCCTTTGAGTGGCGGTGCTTGCAAAATCTTTGCTAAGGCTTTAGGGTAAGGTCTATTGAAAAATGTTGCTAGAATAAGGTTTTTCTTTTCTTCTTGCCAAGCAGGTTGCTACGTTTAAAACCAAAGTGATCGAGTTTCACCTTTCAAATTTTCCTTAGTTCCGACTAGCCTTAAACGATTTATAAAGAAGGAGGGAATTCGGAACAAAACTAAGGTTTTGAGTCTGGAAGGATCTTTTTCCCAAATTGATAAGGCTAGTCTAACTTAAGGAATAAAAGTCATGTTGCCCAAGTTTCTAAGGCAAAAATAGTAGACACTATGTTTAGCAATACGATGCTAAATCTGTACCGTTCGAGACTTAAAGCAAAATATTTTTCATTTACTTAGTCAAGCGTTTACTTGGAGTCACAAGGTCGGTACAACTTCTCACATTTCCGATTCCAATCCAAAATCACATTTTCCCAATATTGCACCATTAGAATTTAAACGGTAATAACACTAGAGCTCTTCAATTCTTAGCCCTGTGTTCCAACCATTTTATATCTAAGCATAAACAGGAAAATTTACCAAGGCTGCGTCAATACTTAGCACTTGGTAATCAGTACTTATATCAACTCACAGTTTCACAAAATAGTAGCACAGATTTCTAAACAATTTTAGAAATTCAGTTATCCATTCAGGATGGGAATTCATAGAGCCCACCGTCAACAATTTCGACACATTATGCTCCAATGGAAAATAATGTCGACCATTAGCTTTGCGAACATTGGAATACGAATAGAAACTGTTTCACTAGCCAGGCTTAAGCATACGTTTAGCAAGTACCTTCTTACCCTCTAATCCTTTGAAAATTTCAGGAACACCCTAGGGTCAAACCACAATTCAGTCAAGAGTTTGAACCACTAGTAATATAAGGTCCCAATCCGAATTCAAGTGGAGATTTAAAATGAAACAGGTCATTCATGCCAAACAGTTTACTTTGAAAATTCACTGACAGTAGTACACATGGAGTAAAAAAATACGAAATTTCTACAGGGCGAAGATCTATGATTCTAGTTTCAAATGCCGCTGACGGCGCCTTAAACGGATTTTCCTACACCAAGATATAACCGTTTTATCGAGACTGGTCAGGGACTTCCGAAAATCTGGAGTTTCATTTTTCACTTATGAAAAACTCCTTTTTCTTTTCTTTTCACACCAAAAGTTTTTATTCAAACCATCGTACATTTCTTATAGGGCTCCAAAACAACATATTCCAAGCATCATTTTTCAAGAAAAATTTCCAAGAACCAAGCAAATTTTCAACTCAATTCTCGGCTGTCTCAACGAAAATTCCAGCAATTGTATACTAGCGTTTTTGGTTTCAGCTTTACATGTACTAATTGGTTCATTGCTGAACAAATTGTATATCTTAAAATTTGTATCTCTTATGAAATTCTGAGCCACCATAATCCAAGGAAATAAAATAAATTTCCAGAAACAAATTGAATTTTTCCAACGATATTGAAATTCTGGTTCATACCCCTTCGGCTATCACCCAAAATTTCCAGCAACCAATCTACTTTAGTTCGAATTTTCCCTTGGTTTAATCATGGTGTTAGTTACTCAAATTCAGTATTTAAACACATAGCAAGATAATGAACATTTCCAGTTTAAGAGTTGAATTTAAACCATGGTTACAAACCCCAAAATTTCCAGGTTTAAACCTCACGGCTTCTCTCAAGATTTCCAAACAATTTCAACCATTATAAATCCCAGAAAAATTCCAAAATCAAAGTTGAGATTTCAACTCAACATTTGGCAACCACAAGAAAATTTCCCTAATAGTCACGGTTGAATCATGCGTGAAGAGCTTTCTATTTTCATTTCATTTTCTGGTTTGGACATGCTTATAAACTCTTACATTCCTTATGCACGTATCAAGCTAGCATATGAATATTTCCAGCTCAGAAATCAAGTTCAAATAATATCCATAACCATCAAAATTTCCAGAAATTTTTTTCCTATTTGGTCCGGATGATCTTGCCTTAAGGCAGATTGCACTTTTGAATTTTTATTCCTCTGTTTTAACAACTAATTAGCTACATGCAGGGCCTAAGTACTCATTATTAGCTATATAATTATGATTATAAGCCCAAATTACAAAAATCAAAACCAATTTAAGCTGCACTACCCCAAGCAAGCTCACGGCCAAATTTTCCAGCCAAGACAGAATTTTCCACAGCTTTGTTTTCACCATTTGATTGCGAAATTTAACACATGCAAGACTCTAATCCGGATAATCATCCAAAATCCAGTTAGATAAACATCATTCATGCTCAGATAGTCCAAATTCGGACCCATTCAGCAGCCAAAATAAAACAAGTGCATCAAGCTCCACGGCAGGAGCTTTATAGCTAACCAAATTTTTTTGTAGGCCTTCACTATGCCATCCGAAGGTACAATCAGCATGCAAAATAGAAATCATCACATTTTCATTTGACTAAATCCACTTAAGTGCTCAAATCATCACAGGAAATCAGAATTGGAGTGCGTTATCATCTCAGCTTTCGGATGGTATCTCATCATTCAAAACAGAATTTTCTAATGATTCCATTCAACTTCCGAATGCTCTATCATCACATACATATTACTAGATAACTCCAACTACCTCAGATTAATCCTAAAATGATCCAGAAATTACCTCACAACTAGTCAAGCTTTCACACGAAAATCTGGAAAATGTTTTCCTCCTCTCGGCTCACAAGCACGCGACAGGGTAGTGGTCCTGGTTCAGTGAGTTGCGGCTGGAATTGGCGAGGTGCAGAGTGGTTAAGGTTGCAGTTGTGATGTTGGTCTGAGGGTGATGAAGAAAGTGACGGTTCCCTGGTCTCTTCCCTCAGCTTATGGTCAGAACAGAGGCAAAAAAGGAAGATGCAGCTCGCGGTTCTCTTTTGGTCGATACTCACGAGGAGTAGCTCTCCCTCACTTGGATGCTCTCGGCTGCAAGCTTCTCACGGTAGAGATGGAGTGCAGTAGTGTGCGGTATGAGAGTGAAAAGGAAGAGGAAATAGTGCCGGTTTAGGAGAGGTTTGTGGTTGAAATTGATTGAGTGTAAAGTTGGTGATGGTTTGCGATTGGTTGTATGGTGCGGCTTGTGTATTGCAGTGGAGAAGTTGCCGATTGGTTAAGTGGGCGGCAATGGAAGGCTGAACAAGGGAATGTTTGGCCGAGCATTGTGAGGTTGTGGTATAGTGGAGGTTTTGTGAAATTGTGGAGGGCATTTTGGTCCATTCACTTTGCCCCCTAACCTCTTCTCAATCCTCAATTCTATCTTAAATCCAATACTTATCACCAATTGAAATTTGAAGGCCTAATTCTACACTAATATACCGAAACCGTTTTATCGAATATAATCGGTTACGAATTAATATTAAGGTTCCTAACATTTGTACTTTATTAACTTATTAAAATCAAGTTTGACCTTGTTATAAAAATCTAACATTTAACGTTAGTACTAATTGGAATTTATTTTAAGGAAATTAAGGTTATCGATTGGTTGTCCTTTAAATTGTTTGAGTCAAGGAAATTAAGATCCTAATTTTAATATGTTAGTACGAAGAATTAATTCTTAACTCTAAGATATTAATTTAGTATAGTAAAACTAAGAAATTCATAGTCTAGGGAAATTATATCATTCTTCATTTATAACGTGTGTTTAACTACTTATTTGAAAACAAGAAAACATAATATAACTCAAGAATTATTAACTTAGTGTAGCAAAGCTAAGTGCTTTAATAGTTAGCACCGTTATGTTATTTTGCACACAAAAATTATTTTTTTATATACTTGTTTACAACAAATGAACTAACGTGGTAGATTAGAACAAGAATTACGAAGGGATTATGCACTAGTATCTAAAAGCGAGTGAAAGTAATACTAGAAAAGATTTAAAGAATACGAAGGCTAAATAAAAGTGAAGTCGAAGTAAGCATTGGTATTTCTGCAAAATTCAAGGTTCTCACATCCTCCCCTCCTTACAAGAATTTTGCCCTCAAAATTCATTCTTTCTAAGGAAATAAATTGGGGTGCTTCCTTCGCATTTCCTCTTCTAATTCCCAGGTTGCTTCCTCAAGTCCATGATTTCTCCATAACATTTTTACCAGAGGAATTTTCTTGTTCCTTAGCTCCTTCACTTCTCTTTCCAAAATCTTGACTGGTCCTTCTTCATAGCTTAACGTCTCATCCACCTCAATTCCTTCTAGTTGCAGCACATGGCTTGGGTCAGGGTAATATTTCCTAAGCATGGATACATGAAATACATCGTGAATCCTAGCCATGCTTGCAGGCAATTTCAGCTGGTATGCTACATTCCCAACTTTCCTCAAAATTTCAAAAGGTCCGATATACCTTGGCTTCAGTTTCTTACCTTTCTTAGATACTACTCCGCTCTTCAAGGGTTTAACTCTTAGGAAAACCTTGTCCCCTATTTCAAATTCCAAATCTTTCCTCCTTGTGTCGGCGTAGCTCTTTTGTCTACTTTGGGCAATTTGAAGCCTTTCTCTAATTAGTTTCACCTTCTCCTGGGCTTCTTCTATCCAAGGTATGGCTGTAGGATCTAAAATCTTCTTTTCTCCAACTTCATCCCAATGAATCGGAGATCGACACCTTCTCCCGTACAAAGCTTCATAAGGTGCCATTTGAATCGAGGCCTGATAGCTATTATTATATGCAAATTCTACCAAGGTCATATATTTACTCCATTTACCTCCAAAATCCAATATACACGATCTTAGCAGGTCCTCCAAAGTTTGGATTGTCCTTTCCGATTGCCCGTCGGTTTGGGGATGATACGCAGTACTAAATTTCAACTTGGTCCCCAAAGACTCTTGAAATTTCTGCCAAAAACGCGAGACAAACCTTGGATCTCGGTCGGACACGATACTCACTGGAATACCATGTAGCCTTAGGATCTCTTCTGTGTACAACTTGACCAATTTCTCCAATGAAAAACTCATGCTCACAGGTAGGAAATGTGCAGACTTAGTGAGTCGATCGACTATTACCCAAATTGCATCGAATCCTTTTTGACTCTTAGGCAGTCCCGTTACGAAATCCATTGTTATATGATCCCATTTCCATTCAGGAATTTCCAACGGTTGCAGTAAACCAGAGGGCTTCTGATGCTCGGCTTTCACTTGTTGGCAAGTCAAACATTTCTGCACGTACTCAGCCACATCCTTTTTCAAACCGTCCCACCAATATAAACTCTTCACATCATGATACATCTTGGTCACTCCCGGATGTATGGTATACTTTGATCGATGTGATTCTTCCAAAATTTCTTTTCTGATCTCTTCATCTGCCGGAATCACAATACGATCTCGGAACCTCAATACACCTTCAGATCCCAATTTAAAATCTAGGATTTCTCCTTGTTGCACTTTTTCCAAATTCTTCTGAATCACAGGGTCCGATTTCTGAGCCTCCTTAATATGTTCTAGTAATGGTGATTTCAGAGATAGATTCCCAAATAATATCTTCAATTTCTCCAAGCGAGGGTTCCAATTACTTATTTCTTCTAGCATGTCCCATTCTTTAACCATCAACCCCGCTATTTGGGCCTTTCTACTTAAAGCGTCAGCTACCACATTTGCTTTTCCTGGATGATAGTTGATCGAACAATCATAATCTTCCAAAAATTCTACCCATCGCCTTTGTCTCAAGTTCAGTTCCTTTTGGGAGAACAAATACTTGAGGCTCTTATGATCTGTAAAAACCTCAAAAGTCACGCCATACAAGTAGTGTCTCCATTTCTTTAAGGCGAAAATCACTGCTGCTAACTCTAGGTCATGAGTTGGGTAGTTCTGTTCATGAGGCTTCAATCTCCTGGAAGCATAAGCAATTACTTTACCCTTTTGCATTAAAACACATCCGAGACCTTCTCCAGAGGCATCGGAGTACACGGCATAACCTTCGTCTCCGTCAGGTAACACCAAAACAGGAGCGGATGTTAAACGCCTCTTTAACTCCTGAAAACTTGACTCGCATTTTGGAGTCCAGGTAAACTTATTTCCTTTCTTGGTTAACTCGGTCATAGGTCCTGCAATCTTCGAAAAATCCTGGATAAATCGCCTATAATAACCTGCTAAACCCAAGAAACTTCTGATTTCAGTTGGAGTTTCTGGCCGCTTCCAATTCATAACAGCTTCAACTTTTGCCGGATCCACGGCAATTCCATCTTTGGAAACCTTATGCCCTAAAAAGGAAATCTCTTCTAACCAAAACTCGCACTTGCTGAATTTTGCATACAACTTATGCTCTCTTAGTATCTGCAATACTATCTCCAAGTGTTTAACGTGTTCCTCCTGAGTCTTGGAGTATATCAAAATATCATCTATGAAAACTACTACAAATTGGTCCAGGTATTTCTTAAAAATTCTCTGCATCAAATCCATAAATGCAGCTGGTGCATTAGTTAAACCAAAAGGCATGACTGCGAACTCAAAATGTCCATATCTTGTACTAAAAGCAGTCTTGGGTATGTCTTCCTTCTTAATCTTCAGCTGGTAATACCCTTGCCTTAAATCCAACTTAGAGAAGACCACTGATCCTTGCAGTTGGTCGAACAAACTATCAATCAACGGTAGAGGGTATTTATTCTTAATAGTAACCTCATTTAACCCTCGGTAATCGATACATAGCCTCAAACTCCCGTCCTTTTTCTTAACAAATAGAACGGGCGCTCCCCATGGTGAGTCACTTTCCTTTACGAAACCTTTCTCCAACAGGTCTTGTAATTGGATTTTCAACTCTTTAAGCTCGGCAGGAGCCATTCGGTACGGAGTCTTAGAAATTGGAGCCGTTCCAGTCACCAAGTCGATCTTAAACTCTACCTCTCTCTCTGGTGGTAAAGTCATTAATTCTTCAGGAAAGACGTCCGGAAAATCCCGTACTACGGGTACATCCTCTAATTTTACTTGATCACTGGGAGTATTAATCAAGAAGGCTATGAAACCTTGAGCTCCTTTAGATAACATTTTCCTTGCCCGTATTCCCGAGACCATAGCAGAAGATGCTAACCTACCTTTGACATCTAACCTCAGGGTTGCTTCTCCAGGTATACAAAATTCCACTATTTTTTCTCGGCAGTCAAGCTTAGCATGATGGTGACCTAGGAAATCCATTCCTATGATAACATCGTAACCTTTTATATCCAGACTGATCAGATCCACTAGCATTTTCTGTTCTCCGATATAGAATTCACAATTCTTATAGGCCAAGCTAGTGATTACCTTTCTATTACCCATGGGTGTCATAATTTCAAGATCAAAGGGTAATCTAACGGGTTGCATATCTATTCCAGACATAAAAGATGGATTTACAAATGAATGCGTTGCACCAGGGTCAATTAACACTTTAGCTAATCTATGAAAAATTGGAAGTGTACCTTCCACAACTTCCGAGGAATCAGGTACGGGTTGATCATCTATAGCATACACTCTGGCAGGAACTGTTGGCCGGCTCCCTCCAGAAGTGTTTGGTCTAGCTTTCTGAGGAGTTCCTTCCTGCACCTTTGGACATCCTGAGATTTGGTGCTCACTACTTCCACATCTCAAGCACCTTCCTTGCTTCTTCCAGCAACTATCCATAGAATGACCAGGTTTCTTGCAATAAGCACATGTCACTTGAGGAACTATTGCTCTACCCCCTTGCGGCCGATTCCTAGGTTGTCCTCTTCCAATTGGTCCCCCTCTAGCTCCAATATTTCGTCCTCCTGCATTCCTGGCCCCATGTCCTCTTGCTTGGGCGCCTCGGGGTGCTCCAGAACTATTCACTCCACTAGTTCCTCGGCCCACTTTGGCCGGTGGAGCATTTCCAAAAGTCGGCTCCCGACTACTGCTAGGAGCAAATCTTTTCTTGGACTGAAAAGACTTCACTTGAGCTCTGGCTACTTCAACTCGCTGCGCTCTTTCAACAGCCTCAGCGAAGGTATCTATCCTTACAACAGCTAAACTTTCCTGTAGTTCCACATTCAAACCCTGCACAAACCTCCGAACACGCCTTTGCTCGGTGGCTATCAACTCAGGTGCAAAGCGTGACAGCTTTGTGAACTGGACTTCATACTCGGCGACACTCATCGCCCCTTGTTTGCATCTAATAAAATCATCCTCTCTCTTCTCCTGAACGAGAGGTGGAAGGAATTTGGCATTGAACTCCCTTGTGAAGTTCGCCCAAGTCCTTGGCGTATGGTTAGTCTCCCACGTAATCCTTACTAGATTCCACCAGGAGCGAGCAGCTCCCTCAAACTGGAAGGTAGCAAAAGTCACTTTTCGCTCCTCGGTATAGTTCAAGGCGGCGAAAATCTCAGTGATTCTCTCCCACCAGCCTTCGGCCACTTCCGGCTCGGGTCCTCCATAGAATTTGGGAGGTCCAAATTTCAGAAACCTTTCCAGTGCCCGATCATCGGAGTCAACTGGGCCTCCTGGTTGATGCACTGGTTCAGTGGTTTGGCGATCAGTCAATCGCTCGAGAACTTCAGTAATACGGTCAATTGCGGTGGCCACCCGGTCTCCGGCCACACCTTCCTGCCCTTGGTCTTGATCGACCTCGGGTTCCCTATCACCACCTGCTTCCGGGTGTTGTCTAGTGGGTCTTCCCCGGCTCCTTCCTATCACTTGGCGATCCATATTCTAAATATGCCTATTACGGAAGGATAGGTCAATTAGGCAAAAGTATTATTTATTTATGATTATTACCATTCTTTTTGGTAAATAAAATCAATATGGAAATAGAGAAAAGATAACTAAAACGCTTAACATATAATTCCACAGAGAAGTCATACAAATAACAAGTTGGGACGTTTCCAAAAGTAAGGCACATCGACTAACACAAATACATACAGGTAATCCCTTATACAAAATTAGGGCTCCAAACTGAGGTAATTTTCTGGACTCTAGAACTAGTTTTTTAGGGGTAGATGATGTTGTTTATAACATGCATGTGGTGGTTGTGTGGTTGGATGATAGATTAAGTCACAAGAAAAACTTATTGTGAAGGAATTGGAGTTGCCGAATGAGTAAGCTGGAAATTTGCGGCTGAGAGAAGGGGTTGAACATTTGATTAGTTTTCTTCGAATTTGTAGCTAAGATTTTCATATGGGATGTTTAAGATTTGCTTGTAGCTTGCTAATCACCTTTTGCATGTTAGATTTAAGTGTGAAATGGAGAGATTATTGGAGGAATTCCTTGCTTTAAAGATGGATTGCTGCTGAAATTTTTCAGCATGGCTGAGAGAAGGAAACAGAATTTTATCCAGCTTTCCCTTTGAATCTTTGGCTGTAAATTTCATATTGTTGCACAAGGTACACCGTAGCATGATAACTCCACTCTGCATGTTGAGCTGGAGTGGAAAAATGAAGAATTTGTGGAGAAAGTTTCACATTTAAACTGTCAAATTGTTGGAAGATTATATCTTAGCTAATGTCAGATTTATGGGGACGTCTTGGTGGAAGAATTTGCTAGAATTACCTGTTATTTGATTCATTTCATGTTGGACAGAATGCATGTTAAGTGTTTAGTGTTTAAAGCAAGCAAAGGATGGAAACCTTGTTGAAAATTTCGAAGTAACTTTGCTGGAAAATCTGTTTTGTTGGCCGAGAGAGTGAAGGCTGAAACTCTCATGTTAATTTCGAAAATTCCATAATAATTGGCTGTAATCTTAAGTAAAACGATGAATAGAAATTGAAAGTGTATTTTAAAGGTCAAACTTGATTTTAATAGGTTTAAATAAAAGAATAATAAATGATCATTTATAACTTATACATTTACCTTGGAAATTATTTTCCGGAATTGTGTGTTATTTGTTTTGGTTTAGGTTGGACAGATCATAAGCTTTATGTTTAGTGTTTCTAGCAAGTAAAATATGGAGATTTAATGGACATCTTGAATTGACATTTGCTAGAATTTTATTGATTATTGAAACAAGAAAAGAAAATATGAACTTTTAGAGTTATTTGTGTGTAAACTAGCCGTGATTTACCTTCTATGTTGAGTTAAATTTCTGGTTGATTGTTGTAAGGAATGATTGTTTGTCGTCAAGAGCTTATGATTGATGAAGCTCTTGGTCATTTAAGTAATTTTTACAAGAGTTAAAGTTTTGGTGAATTGTTTAAGCGGTTTGGCCGAAATGTACTTGGAAGGTCCATGAATTGTGGTTTGGAATCGTTTAATATCTTAGACTTCCTTTGTTTAATTTTGATTGGAATTGAATCTGTTGAGACCTAGGGCTAATGATTGATGAAGCCCTAGTGAAATTGATGGTTGGTTTGTGATTTTACTATATTGGTGATTTGGAATTCAAAGTGCAAATGAGTTGGAATCGTGAAGTCCGTTTTGGTCTTTTGAATTCGAGTAGTTTTGATCAAGCTTTATTGAAATATTTTATTTTAATATCAAGTTATAGAAATTGAGTATAGTACGATAAAACTAAAATTTAAATGTCGGGATTTTTAAAACCTTGCTAACTAGTTAATTCTTTTCTTTGCTTAAACTAGTTCTAGTATTTTTAAGAAATAATTGTATTAACTTCCAAACTTTAAGTTTTTCATAAAATTATCCTTGGCTAGTTGTTTTAGAGGAAAATAGTTAAAAAAACACTAGATTTGAATAATTTCAAATAAAAGGCATGGAAAACTTGTTCGGCAAGAAAACTTGTTTGAATTAAATTGGTTTTAGTTGTACCTCTAGAAAGAAAAGTAGCTTTAAGGGAATCATACGAAATATTTTATTACTTTACCAGCTTTAATTCTAAGAGATTTATTGATTTATTCCGAGAAAATAAATTAGTTTTATACCAGATAATCTTCTGTATTTAAATCAAGAGTTTGTATAGTAAAGCTTATAGTTTTTAAAACTTGGTTTTCTAGGGTTTAGCAAGGACATGGACTTCGATTTCCAGCTTGACTTTTGAGCTTCATTTTTGGTGAGTGTCCGTGCTTGTTCTATGACTAAAGTGTTAAAGTGCTTTCTTGACTTGTTATGTGATAATTGGAAAGTGGTTTTCCTGAACCATCGAAGTGGCAGTGTGTACTTTATCGCACTAGCCTTTCGAGTGGTGACTTGCTTGAAATGTTTTCTCGAATATCTTGTAATTGTTGACTGGAGCGTGGACTCGTCAACTAATCTACCAGGCAGGGGAATGTACCACACCTTAGGGTGGGAGGGCCTCTTATCCTGACTTGGTAAAAGCGTGTTGTGACGTCGTTGGGTGAATCCCTCGACTAGTTTATAATGTGACGTCGTTGGGTGAATCCCTCGACTAGTTTACAAAAAGGTATACTCGAGTAATACCAAACTCTCTCGTGAGAAGAACGGGCCCGGTGGGAGTAAGTTTGTTGGAGCATGTTAAGAAAAAAATAATGAATCTACATGAACTTTAGATAGTGAGAGTTGACGGAGGGTCAACTGCAGTTAATTTTGATCAAGTGCGTGGAAAATGGCTCCTGAGAGCCCTGTATCCAATTCTGTTTCTACTTGCTAAATTTAAGCTTGAAGTTATGATTTACCATTTGTGTTATATGATTGCATGTTTTGGGGCACCACTGAGCTTTAGCTCACCACACGATATTTGTTTTCCATAACAAGTTTTGGCATTCGAGAGACTTGAAGTCTACCTTTAGTTTTTTTTTCGTAAATGTTGTTTTGAATCGGACTATGTATCTTTTGTTTTGGGTTGCCACTTGAAGCTGCAAAAGTGCAAACCCTAAATGTTGGCTTGTATGGATGTATTTGACTTTTATAATTTCATTTTGTAGTTGGTAATGTATAAGTGTAATTATGTGTTAAACTAGTTGGAGGTGTAGTTAAGAGTGAACGTTCAGATGTCCAATGGCAATGTTATCTTTGAAGTTAATGTGTTCCTAGTATTGTAGTCGTTCAAAGGGGTGGATTGTTCGGGTGACGAGTTTTGTCTTGATTTGAGTTATACGTGGAAAGGGTTTAGCCGGTTTCCTTGCATGAGTTCCTAGCGAGAGCTAGGCAGGTGACCCGCCAACCCTCTGGTTCGCCTTAGGGAGAAGTGGGGCCGCCACAACAATTGCTGGAAGAAGGAGAGAAAATGTTTGCACTGCGGGAGTGCAGACCACCAACTTGCCAATTGTCCAGTTCTATCCCAAGATGGAAGGGGGAGCTAGCAACCGACGAGGACCAATTCCGAATCAGCTAAGGTGGAAGGAACTAAACCTAAGGTATCGGCTCGAGTGTATTCACTGGAGCCACAACAGGTCCCCGATTCTTCTGAAGTTGTAGAAGGTACAATTCCTATATTCCACCGATTTGCGAAAGTTTTAGTAGATCCCGGTGCTACTCATTCATTTGTCAACCCCAATTTCATGTGCGAAATAGATATAAAACCTGCTAGTTTACCTTATACCTGGAAGTTAGTGCTCCTACGGGGGATCATCGTTTGATCACTAGTATGGTTTATAAGGATTGTGAAATTTGGGTAGGAGAGCGGAAATTATTAGCGGATTTGATAAGCCTGTCCATTAAAGGGTATGACGTAATTCTAGGCATGGACTGGTTAGTCCGGTATAATGCCCAACTTGATTGTAAGAGGAAAATAGTGAAGTTTCGTATTCCTGGGGAGACGACCTTGAGGTTAGATATAAGGGGTAGGTTGGCCTCATCTGCATTAATTTCGAGTATTTGGGATAGGCAATTACTAAGCAGAGTGGTGCAAGGGTTCTTAGCTTTTCTTATCAACACCTCTTCTGACAAACTGAAGGTGGAGGATGTACCAATCATATGTGAATATCCGAACGTATTTCCTGATGAGTTAATAACCCAACCTCCGGAAAGAGAGATAGAATTCAATATTGATCTGTTACCGGGGGCGTCACCTATCTCTAAAACCCCATATCGGATGAGCACCTACTAAGTTTAAGGAGTTAAAGTTGCAGTTACAAGACCTTTTGGAGCGGGGGGTTCATTCGAAAGAGTGGATCTCCTTGGGGAGCCCCTGTGCTCTTTGTGAAGAAAAAGGATGGGAGTTTGCGGATGTGCATAGACTACCGGGGGTTGAATAATGTGACGGTTAAGAATAAGTACCCGTTGCCTCACATTGATGAGTTGTTCGACCAGTTGCAAGGAGCAGTGGTCTTTTCGAAATTAGATCTTCGATAGGGGCATTATCAATTGTTGATTAGGAAGGAAGATATACCAAAAACTGCTTTCAATTCGAGATATGGGCATTATGAATTGGCGGTCATGCCCTTTGGACTGACCAATGCCCCTGCTGCCTTCATGGACTTGATGCATAGGGTTTTTAAGCCCTATTTGGATCGATTTGTAGTTGTTTTTATAGATGACATCTTGGTTTACTCAAAGACTCGGCAGGAGCATGAGCAGTACATAAGAATCGCCTTGCAAACCCTAAGAGAGCATCAGTTGTACGCCAAGTTTAGTAAGTGTGAGTTTTGGTTGGAGAAAATTTCTTTCTTAGGGCATGTAATTTCCCAAGAGGGCATCTCTGTTGACCCGGTAAAAGTAGAGGCCGTGACTGATTGGAAGAGGCCAGAAAATCCTACGGAGATTCGTAATTTTCTAGGGTTGGCTGGGTACTATAAGCATTTTATTAAGGACTTTTCCAAACTTGCCGATCCTTTAACCGACATGACGAAGAAAAATGA